GGAAGCACTCGATGTGGTACACCTTGGCGCGGGCGCGCATCACGAAGTCGTTCTTGCTGAAGCCGATGCTGCACTTGGCGCATTTGATCCCGTACAACCTGGGCGGGCCGGGCCGGGCCGGGGAGAAGCACAGGGCAGCGGTCACTTAGGCGGACACTGTCCCGTCTGAGACCAGCGACGACCGGGGCCCCAAGGCCCTGAGCCCCCCGAGAGCGGCAGCCACAGACCAGCTGGGGTCGGAAGCACCGACGCCATGAGGTCTCGCTCCCTCTCCCTTTCCTCCTTCCCCTCTGCCTCCGTCCGAACCCCTCTCCGGTCTCCGCGCACCGCTCCGCTCGCCCAGGCCACGCCGAGGACAAATGCCTCCCGTGCTCGGAAGCCTGGGCCGCGCGCGGCTGCAGCGATCAGCCACCGAGTGGGTACCCGCTGGCCCACACGTTCTAGAAAGGTCTCAAAACCTGCAACCAGAAGCCCTCCATCCAGGGGAAAAAGAGACCGTCACGCCACGCGCTGTGCACCGCCCCCCCGCCCCAATGCACAAGCAAAACAACAAAATGAAACCGAGGTTTGCAGATCCATCCCGCAGGAGTCCGCGCCGATCTGACCGGAACTAGAGGTTCCCCGCGGGCAACAATGTTAACAAAGTTTCCCCCGCGGTCGTCCTTTCATTGTTGTTTTTAAATCCGCTGCGGCTGCGGCTGCCCTCAACCCTTTCCAGGGGCCGAAGCATCTGCCTCTCGTTCCGTCTGCGGGAGAGCCAGGCCGCTTCCTCGCGGCTGACCTTCCCCGGGTAGGTCCTTCGGGGCGGCACTGGCCGGGCCCCTGGCCGGTACGGGCGACAACAGAAGCGGGCATTGCTACAAAGTGACCCGCAGAAAGCAGGGAGGGGGCACCTCACTCCCCCAAGGGGAGAAGGCCCTGGGAAACCTACAGGACCGCTCTGTTCGGCTTTTACAACTACAGGATCTCAAAGGGAGGGCACACACACACACACACACACACACACACGGGTGGAGAGAGGAGAGGAAGGGCTAACAGCAATGGGCTCCTTCTACACCGTGTCTCGAGCTAGGCC